AGTAGAACCTTTCCCTTGTACACACTAAGATCCACATCATTTCCCTTAGCATCCTGCACTAATATACAAATTTTAAAACTATCAGACTAGCAACAAAATCAAGATACAAAGACCATTTACTTATCAACTGAGTTTCCACATATAATCCCATTAACATCACCGGAAATTTTCCTTCATTTTTTTCTTGGCAACCAACCAGACCAAGGAAAATTCTCAAAACATGCCAAAAACGAGTACAGAGCATTCATAATTCTTTTATGGGATTAAATTGCTAGAAAAATGAACACTTTCAACACAATCGCATCACTCCAAAACTACCCATCTACTAATAAATTATTTACAGTTTGAAGAACATGTACAGAACAACCTTGAAAAGATGCAGCAACAAATAAACTAGTTGAAGATGGATAGGCTTACCTTGACAGTGAAGTCATAAATTGTTTTTGGGTTCTCTGTTGGCTGGCTTGTCATCCTATTATAACTGTCTGGTATGAAACTCTCAAGTAGAAGAAGAGCTAGCTCAGCAAGGGACAAACCCTATATGCCTCTTTGACTTCCCAAGCTCCCAACCAAACTGGCTTTCACGTTCAACTGACCTCTAATGGCGTTTAGGCCCCCTCATTTTCACCTCGACCCTTTGTTTGAACTTTGGGCTGCACTCTTCAGCCTTGGGCTTAGACTTTTACAATTGTTGAGCAGCAAAATGCCCAATACCAGAAGGACATGAACAATAGCAATGACTTTTTTTGTTCTTTTTTCTGGTAGATGTTTTCCTTGTGATGAAATTTCTGTCACTCTCTCCCTATAACATGCATTTATATATATATATATATTAAGACATTTCCTATTGAGATGTGTGATAATATACTAAATTCAAATACACTTATACGATACGGTGCTAGGACTTGACCCATGATCTTTCATGAAGGAACAATTACTCCAAATTACAATACCAACATGTATTATTATATATTTGTGAAAACGAAAGTTATTATTCTATTGCTCGTTGTCGATTAGTATACATATATATATAATTTTTTTGATAAAATATACATTGAAACACATTAAACAAATTCTTGACCATTATGCAAGCCTTGTTCCCCTTGGAAAGGCACTTTGCCTTTTGTTCCTTCTTTACTAAGAGGCTGTTTACATTTGTTTCTTTTCCACTTAATAATCCAGAAAGTTTTCCTTTTGATATTCAGGCCAACAATATGTCAAACCTCTTCCTCTCATTCCAGCTACATTCTTATACCTCCTCCTCAATCTGAATTTCTCTCAATGTCAAATATTTAAAATGAATTTGAATTGGAGGGATTTTAAACGTTGATATCCAATAAATCATTTGAAATGTACATGCTTTCTTCTCTCTTCCAAAATACACCATTATATTCAGAACACAAATTTGCATACAGGTACTATCTCTGTATTTGAAATAACTGCTTCACTGAAACATCAATAAAGTATCCTTAAAACATGTCCAACAATACAAAGAGATACATATTTTTATTACAGACAGCTTTATTCTTATTACAGCTTCTCATTTATTCATAATGAGCTGGCTGTTCAAGCAACCCCCAACAGTTTCTTTACATCCTTCTGCAAAACAAAAGCAAGGCCAACCAGAATTTTGTTAGTCAATTAGAAAAATCAAATCACTTCATTAATGTAGTGGCATGAAGATTGATTTTCTACCTCAATGCTAAGAGGAGTAGTTGTAGGGGCATAACGGTTAACAACATTCCCTTCTTTGTCAACAAGGAATTTGGAGAAGTTCCACTTAATGCTGTCACCAAAGAGCCCACCCTTGCTCGACTTCAAGAACTTGTAAATGGGAGCAGCATTGTCACCATTCACATCCACCTAAAATTGGAAGCACATATTGAAAACATGTCAATCTCCAGCTCTTGTTAATAACATAACTCCATGCAAGGAAAGGAATAATAGCTTTCACAGTTCATTCGCATCGAAATGAAATCGGAAACAACTTCTACCTTATCAAAGATGGGATACTCAGCCTTAAAGCGAGTGCAAGCAAACTCTACAATCTCATCATTTGATCCTGGCTCCTGAGCTCCAAACTGATTGCATGGGAATGCCAAGATTTCCAAACCTACAAGGCCACAGAAGCAAGAGTAAACTATAAAGCAACCAAAAGAAAAAGCCGGAAAAGATCATAGCAGCCTAAGCAAAATCACCTCAATAGATAGGAGTTTCTAGGAAAATGGTCTTAGGATGAAGTATAAGCATGGGTTAGAAAGAGAGAAATCAAAAACAGGAACAAGTGAAAGGAAAGGAGTGAAAATTTCGGAAAAAAAAAGAAAAGGAAAGGAGTGAAAAGGCAAACCTTGATTTTTGTATTTCTCATACAACTGACTCAGCTCTGTGTAGTTTGAATTAGTCAAGCCACTGCATCAAAATCAAATAGCAAACTGTATAAATAAAAGAGAAAGATGGGTAGCAGAAAAGGCCGCTATCTTTTAATTATGAAGAACGTTAATTACCAAGACATTATTTTTGTTTAATGTAAAGGGAGAAAGTCAGAAGGAAAAGAAGCTATGGTGTACCATTGTGATGCAACGTTGACAATCAACAGGACCTTCCCTTTGTAGATGCTAAGATCAACATCTTTACCCTTGGCATCCTGCAAGTAAAAGGACATATTATACACATCAAATTCCCAGTGAAGGGATGAAACATTGAAGAGATTTGCATAGATATCAATTTCCAAATAAACCCCATTACTAGTTAGTTGACATATCAACTGAGAGAAGGGTTGGCTCCAAAGGCACAATCCAAACCTAATGAGATATTCAATACTGAGAAAGATAATTCAAACCCAATTATCATCACAGAGCAACACCTAAAACACAAATACTGGCATGAAAATGAAAGGCAACTGAATTAAAGTAAGGGCCTTTCCCATCAATAATCCGTATGGGTCACCATTTATTTTGAAAATAAAGTTCTCTTCTTTATGACTGTAAAAATATAGGGCAAACCTAAGAATTATAAGCATCATTTATGTTTTCTTTGGGGTAATGACATCAATCTTGTCCTTTCTTCAAATCCAAGAAAGAATAAGGTGAACAAAGTAAAATCCCCTATTTCTGCATCAAAATTACAGATTGAAACAACCCAAGCTATTAACCAAACAAAGATCCCCAAACCCAGATGTAAAATGAAAATAAAAAGAACCGACTTGCCTTCAATATTGAATTCGTGGCTAAAACTGAAGTAAACAGAATCAAAATTCCTCAAAAACCAACCTTGACAGTGAAATCGTGGATAGATTTACTCCCAGACTGGCTAGCCATTGTACTGTTCGATCGCAAAGTACACCAAACCGGGCTCGAAAACGCTAGTTTGATTGACGGAGAAGACAACGAAACCTGTGAAAAACGCCAAAGGGTCTGCTTGGAATTGGCCGAGAATTGCTTTGTCAAAAGCAGAGAAGCAGATAAAGCAGTTACACTGAGATTTCTTCGTAAGAGAAAGCGAGTAGAAGTACAGAGCATTGAGACACAAAGCAGAGAATGGGCTTCAATTTATGTTTTCGTGGAGATTTGTACGTGACGGATTTGTACAAGTACACGTGCATGATTGCTAGCTGTACACGTAGGCGCTTTCGTAAGCGCACACGTGAAGGTCCAAGGACAAAGTGTCTATCTTAGAAAGGAGGAAAATCGGCTACGATTGTTGCATCAGAGAAGACGTCATGGACTTTTATGGTGATGGTTGGCCCAATGGGCTAAATTTGATGTGAGGTGGACAGTGTGAATAGTGTGAACTGGATATTTCTATTTTTTCTGAAATTTTATTACATGTGTGTGAACAAGATATTTTGACTGTTTGTTTTGTAATTTTGTTATGATGCAAATTTTGGTTTGTCTTTGATTTTTTGGTTCTAGATTTTGTTTCTGGGATAATGAGGTTTCATGAAAGTCACAGTTTTGGTTTTGTATTTTTTGGATTGAGTTTCGACATGAGCTATTGATGGAGCGTATCATCGCTATGAACCATCACTATGAGCCGAGCCCACTAGAAGACCATGCGGCTTGGTGGAACCATGTCGTCTGAGAGTACCGACCCGACCTCAGGGTTCGGAGGGGGATCTATATCTTGACGACCGACCCGATCACTATGACTTGAAAGGCATCTGCTACAGAAAGACACCAAAGGAGACAGCCTGGCAAGGGTTAAGATCAAATAAATGCACCGCCCACTATTTAACCAGGTGTCACCTTATCCTCTAAACTACAAGTAAAACAGGTTGATGAAAAGAGAGAGCATTCAATACACTTCCCATCCCTGATCTCCTGCCACTTCATCTTCTGACCCCTGTCAGGAATGTAGGTGAAACAGGTGCAGAACATTAAATATCACTCAATCAAGGAGAATGGTCTAACACATTAAAAAGATCTTTATGACCATCCTCCTCCTATAAATACCCCTCACCAATATCTGGACAAGGTAAGTAACTAATCTGATAGTAAAAGGCTCCATTTCCAGCTATCTTCTAAACCTCAAATTATGTCTGACTTAGCCATCGGAGAGGGATCAAACTGGGATCCCCCCAGTTTGCCCTTATTTTGATCTTATTCTATATATACAGGTTCGCGCCTTGGTCTACACATCATCGAGATCAACGCTAGCCCAGGCTATTGAAAGGAGAAAGGGAATCCTTGATACTAACATGAGCTATTTAAACTTATCAAGTAAAAGAACACTTTATTTTATTACCCGAAAGAATTGATATTAAAACTTGCAATCACTTTCAACGTAAAAAGAGAAATATTATTAAAAATAATATTTTTCGGTTACAAGTACTAGAATACTATATTATCATATTTATGGTAAGAATTCGGAGTTCGGAAGAATAGAATGTTAAATAAAACAGTATGTATTGTATATGAATTCAAAAGGGCAAAAGAGTTAATCAATGAAAAAAATAGAGCAAGTCATCCTAGTAGCCAAAAAAACGAACAAGTCATCCACAGTTATGCCGTTGAATCCATTTTGGTCACTCTCTCCATCAGATTACTCATTATAATGGAAACTGCATCCTGAAACTTCTCAAGCTTGGCAGTTGAATCTCCATATACCAAACCAGGTAGCAATTCATACACAATATACCTCCTCATATCATCCCTCTCCTTCTTTGAAATCTTCATCAGCATTTCCACCACATTCACCTTCACTTGCCTCACCTCTTCTTGGTCTACAAACACAGAATATTTCTCAGGATCCTCTGGTAGATGCCATGGATACTGGTAGTAAGCTGTAAACGGATCGAATAGCACCGGTATACAACCTGAAATTAGAGAATCAAATAGGGATTTTCTAGTTGGGCTGTCCCCTGGAGGCTGCAAGCAGAATTCAGACTCCATGAAAAGCTCAATGACTGGCTCTGGCTGGTCACATCCACCTGAACTACAATCAAGAAAATGGCATTGGTTTCCATTGTCTGCTGATGAATTGCATTGTTTGATCAATATGGACCTTATGCTCTCAGCTGCACCAGGCCTTGCTGCCCCAGCAAAGCTCACTAAATTTTTTCGATACGAACTGATGATCTTCCATTGCCATGCCATGATATCATCATCTGAGTGTGGATGGAAGTGTGTTGGATGTGGAATGCCAATGTCATTTGGCTGCCATGGTTGCCTTTCAATCAAAAGCTTTATTGGGTTTTCCATTTGGTCAATCTCCAACAGTCTAGTTCCCCATGAACCATCCTTCCTCCTAAAATCCCATGAAATCTTCCCCAACACTATTACATGATCTTTACCTGAATTCTTTGCCCATGGTTTTTGTTTCTCAAGCCAAGTTATGAGCTCCAAACTCAAAGCATCTTTCACATCATTGGAAACATTCTTAAAATGACATCTTAGAATATCCAAGCCACCATAAAATGGGACATAAAACAGTTTGGCTTCATTCTCATTGTAAACTCTGCATGGATGCTTCAAAACCCTTTGATGGAATATTGGCTCCAATGAATACTGATGAGTCTGGTACCAGCCATTTCCAAGCTTAGGAATTGGTTCTCCCAAGGCCTCATTTTTGAAGTACTTGCAGAAGTCCATCCATGGAACCATGTCTCTGCATTGACCCACCAAATCCTTATTAAACTTTGATGGCAGATCATACACATATACACCCCTCCCTTCACACCCTGCTTGCTTGTTTTCCGATATCCATGATCTGTGCAGTCGTAGCTGTTCTTCGACTTCCTTCTTTGCATTTGCAATTTCCTCTTCTCTGTCTTTGTTCTCTCCATTCCTCATAAGTACTGGATCAGCCTCATCATGGACAACTTCTACAGTCTCTTTCATCACCATTTCACCATTGACAGTGGATTCAGGACTAATGGAACCATTGTCTTGGTACAAAGTAGGCAATAGCGAAAGAGGGAGGTTTGAACGCTGGTTTGGAGTTTGGAGGTAAATGGAGCTATTATTGATTATAGGAATTGGGATTTCAAAATTGGGTTGGGTTCTACCAGCAGATAGGCAGTAATGATCGTTAAGCTTTCGCGACGACACACAAATGTGAACAATGTTGCCGGATATAATGGTGGTGGAGGAAGACCAGAGGTAGATAAGAAAGAGAAAGAGAAAGAGAAAAGCAGCCGGGATTCGATAGAGAAACTTGAACAGAACAATGACATAGTTGCAGACTTCTTTTGGGGCTGGTTTTTTGGTGAGTTTGGATTTTCTTTTGAACATGGAAATACTGGCCATTGTGGGACAAGTGCTTGCTGTTTGTGCAGTGGTCTGCCTCTGATTTTAAGTTCAAGCAAGGGGAAGGTTTCATCATGTCCTAATTTGAACATGGAAGCACGTATAACAAAGGAAGCATCTGATTTGGGTGCACGTTTGAAGGTGATTCTATACCTTAATACTATTAATATTCTTAGGCTGTGTTTCAACCATATTATATGATGTGATCATTCTATAATGGTGGTTGACATGCGCATTGAGTCTCCTCCACAAGACAAATAAAAAAATAAAAAAATAGACCAATTATAACTTAAACCGATGATGCTTTGTATTTGACTTGTTTTCCTGATATATATTTGATGTTTTGTATTTGACTTTTTATTAAAAACAAAAATTAAGCTTTGCATTTGACTTGTAAATTGCAATAGTTGCACGAAATGTCTATGCCATGACTATGAGATATCTAGTTGAACAACATGGAAAAAGTAAATTAAAAAAAAAAAACTGTGTTGATGAAGAAGATTTGATTTACAATTTGATCAGTAAATTTGATCGTGTGAAGCAATTCTAGTTTTACTTGCATAATAAAAGAAAAATAAAAGAAAATGCAAGAATTTTCTTTAAAAGTTTATATTACTTAAGCAGGGCTGAAAAGGCCAGATACAACTTGACTTATTCATGTTCCCGCATATCTCACTAGTGGCCCTAGACAGGGAG